TGAAAAGCTCACCAGGGGACCGGTTGCCAAATGAAGCCACTGGGGTACGATTCAGAACCCCTTGCACTACAGGAGCGAGATATTCTCACTCATGCGTGTCCAGCTTCATCTCCATCAACAGAACACGTAGAACTTGCAGCACATCTCGATTCAGTCGCTCGATAGTACCGTTGATCCACGGAGCGTAGGCTAGAAATAGATTTTGTTCAATGGAGAATTGTTTGCGAAGTTGCTTTACAACCTGGTTCTTGAAGTGACTTCCTTGATCAGAAATCAAAATTTTAGGCGGACCAAAACGCTTCGACCAATCCACGAGTGAAGTGGCCGCCACGACACTTGTTGGCGAATCGCAAGCCACCAATTCACAAAAATGGGTAAGGTTGTCCTTCTGTACGAGTAGATATTTGCATTCACCCACACTGTCACCAAGAAAAAGAAAATCCCAGTGGAGCATCTCGTTTCGCTCAGATGCGTCGTATGTAGGCCCCCAGGGGCGTGGAATCATATTACCACCTTTCATGTGTTTGCAGAGAAGGCACCGTTTCAGGAACTGCCGGCAATGTTGTTCCAGACCTTTGATCGAGAAAAGGTCTCTGACTGTAGTCATCATCGCGTCAAGTCCACGGTGACCTTGACTACCCCAATGAGCCACCATGAGAATAAGCTGTCGTAGCTCCTTCACGGACTCTGGTATCCATATTTTTCCGTCTACAGTCACGATGCCATCGTCATTACCCCCCCCCCCCCCGTTGCTCTGGGTGCAGTCCGCTTGTGTTGATGTTGCACTTGGCTGATCTTATTCAAGGTCGGAAAGACAAAGTCGCCTTGACGCGGACGCAGTTCGTCAAGTTGACCTTCAGTCGCGTCGGCAATGCGTTGCTGGCTACGCGTGACGAATTTGCGCTTCACGTGCACCCCTGCCTCACCAAGAGAGCCCCACCGCAAGAGGAGATCGGCCCACACGTTTGCCGTACCCTCGATGTGGTCGATTTGGTAGTGAAGACCAGTGAGAGATAACGCCCACTGTTGTAATTTGCCACGAACGTGACGTTTAACTTCGTGTGTTGGTGCGAACACGTAGATCAGATTCTTGTGATCGCAGAACAGCCTGAAACCTGAAGGGCGGGCGCGAAAATGACCCAGGTTGCGGGCAGCCCAAATGATCGGGTACACTTCCTTCTCAATGATGCTCCACCGACGTTCCGTCTCGTCGAAAATCCCGCTTTTGCATACTAGAAGTTGGTGCTGTTGTTCGTTAGAAGGTAATGCGTAGTCCCAGTCATCCACTTGAGTCACGAAGAGCCCCCACCCCACTTCACTGGCGTCACTAAACACGGCAACGGTGGACGACGTCGTCGGAAAATGCAATAGTTGCGAAGAACCAAGCAGGGTTTTTGCGGAGTTGAATACGTTTTCTTCGTCCACGAAAGAACCACCCCAGCAGCTAGTTTCTTAGTGCGCCCATTGACACTCAAAACTGCCTCCAACTTGTCATGCAACGGGCGCATGGTGCGTCCAAATTCGATCAACGTATCGCGCATCCACCCAAGCAGCGCACAAAAATTGCTGTAGGTCAGCCGCTGTAGTAGGGAGGGGAGGAGCTTGCAACGCACTGATGCGTTCAGGGCCCGTGGCGAATGCCAGTACCACTGAAGATGCGGCCACACCAACGAATCTCCTTCTGGAATAAACAGCTCTTACTCACGCTGAGGTTGAGCCGGTGAGTACGGACAATAGAAAAGAACTCACGAAGTGTAGCGATGAACGTAGGCGCATCATCCGCATAGACGAGAATATCGTCAATCCACACAAGTAGGTGAGCGTAGAGCATCTCGGCAAAAACCTTTTGCATCTCGTTCTGAAAATGCGTTGCCGAATCACTCGCTCCCTGTGGAACGCGTGTAGGAGTCCATACAGTATCGGTCGTAACAAAACGCATCATTTCCTGGCTGTCAGGATGTACAGGAAGCTGCCAGAATCCCTTTGGCATGTCAAAATCCGCGAAACCGTAAGCTCCGGCCGCTTCGTCGGTAGAATCCGTCACATCCTGGGCCGCTCCAGCGATCGGTACGGTCAGTGCATTCACAGGGCGATAGTCGACTGTCATTCGGAAATCATCTGGTGACTTGGATTTTGCCACAGGCACCGCTGCACATGCCCAATGACTTTGGTTAATTTGTCGAATAAAACTCATCAGCTCGAGCCACCTCGTGTAGTCCCGAAGGAAGGTGCGTTGTGCTTTGGCATACCGACGTGAGCGCGCTCTAAAAGGCACAGCTCCGTCCACCAACTGAATTCGTAGTGGTTCAATGTCGGAAGCGGGATCAGCACCCAGGTCAATCCGAAAAAAATCCTCATACTCCAGCACGGTATCGTGAAGAAACGAGAGATAGTCAGGGTCAAAACCATCATTCCCAGCTGCGACCACCATATCTTCCAATTTACGGCGAACTTCCAAACCAGAAAGCTCGAGATCTACACATCCATCGTCTTCAAATGGGTCCACATCTTCACGGAATGAACCTCCAGCCAGCTGTTCGAGTTGCTGGTTTACATCAATTCAGAGTGAGACAAGCGTGTCGTAACCAAGAAGATAATCGGTCTCTTCACCCTCCATAACCAAACACATCCCGTCAGGTAGCTTCACAGTACCCGCTGCCGTTTGCAGCACGACATCCACCGTGACAGAGTCAAAACAGGT